GTATTTCAGAAATACAGACCATTTGATGAGCAGCTTTCACATAATTCTGATGACAGAAATCCCTATATTTTGCCTTCATCATTAATCTTAAAAGTTAACCTATGTAAAGGAGCTTGTTCATTAATAAAAAACTAGTTTGTTAAAACAACTGTTTGCATTTTGCCATTATTTTTAACTTTACAACGAACATAATTCTACTATGATCCCAGACTAAGGTTACAATTTTTCAGTTTTGATGTGTATTAAATGTTATTAATAGGTTACATGCTTTGCTTTTATTTCTGAAAAGATTCCTTTTGTCAAAAAGCACATTTCATAAATAAAAACTTTTCTACATGTTTATTTCATCATTGTTAGTTTATCACACACACAAATTAATAATAATAAAAAAAGTGTGATATAAAAAATATGACTCCCTCCATTTTGAAGTTAAAATAACGCTTTTGAAAGTGTGAAATATGCACATTACTCACGGAAAACATTTGAACACTTACAGTGTTAAAATGTACTCCATGAGTAATGTATTTATTTCACACTTTCAAAAGTGTTATTTTAACACCAAAATGGAGGGAGTCCTACATTTCAGGAGTGTTAAATTTGACTCAAATTGAGTTAAATGTACAGTCGTTTTTGCTGTGTGGAAAATCAAGAAGAGTAAGATCTAATGGCTGTGCCATACTCACGCTGATAACATCGGCCCCTCCCTGGTGACTTTCCCTGAGGTGGGAGCTTCCATCTCAGGGCAATTCATCAGGGAGGGGCCGACGGCATCAGCGTGAGTATGGCACAACCAGATTTTGCGATCTGTATAATGATGCACTCATCTCTTGGAGAAACATTATACACTCTTAAAAATTAGTTATTTATTGGCACCTATAGTTGCATAAAGAACTTTTACACAAAAGTTTTTTTTTTTTTATAGTGGAAACAGGTTCTTTAGATTTTTTAATTATTTTAAAATGTGTTTATTAGCCACAAAGTTTAGTATGTCTAAATTCTTAGCATTCATGAAACATTGCTGAGAAATACCCGGATGGCTTACTATTTCTGCCGAGAACCTTGAGTGTGTCTTCCTCTCAAAAGGAAGGCCACAGGAGTGAATGATTTGCATCCCGCATTAGCACAGTATGGACAAATTTATTTGGATTGCACCTGGGGTTGTAGATGGGGTTGTGTTAGGTGAAAATTTTGTGGCTGTGAATTAAAATAATCTGACAGAAGAGACTCTGACTGATGGACAGACCTCTGTGGCTCATGCCTGGACCCGTAGAGGGCTTATTACAGCCTTTAATTGCAACATCCTTGTTGTTTATGGTTTATGCATTCTTGACTTTGCCTAAAGCAAGGCAGGTTGTGCAATTGTGGAATTCAAAGTTTTGGGGGGTAAATCAGGGCATTATTCATTATTATCCTGAATAATGCCCTGATTCACACATTTTCAGTCACCTGCTGTGAGACGCACCGGTCTCGCATCTCTCACGGAGGAGCGGAAGAATAAAAAGAGGAGCGCCATTCTCTCACATCATTCTCTCACGTCGGCCGCGTCCTGCTCGCCACAAATGCTGTTTCTGTATTCTCAATAAAAAGCTAATTATTATTATTATTATTATTTGTTGATTTATTTGAAACTTAATAGATATCATGTAAGAATATTTGATGTTTTATTAACAAGGTTCAGGAGGAGCAGGTGCAGATAATTAACCCAATCAGTACAAGTGAGATCAATCAGTAATCAACTCAGGACAAGATAAATAACAGCAGAATCCACCTTGTTCCTTGACAGTTTATCAGCATCCCACCTCCACCCCATCGGGCAGAAATTCCGAGCTCGGAGCCCTCCTCCTGGACAGCACTTTAAGTACGCATGACCTTTACCATAATAATTATATGTAGATGAGAACTCGTGAACTAATATTGAATAGTATCAAATCGAATCGTATCGTGAGAAATTCTGAAGCATCAAAAATAATCAAATCGTTGGCTTAAGAAATCGGTATCATATCAAATCGTCATTAAGGCTCCGATTTACACCCCAAGTACCCTGTATGTATGTATGTATGTATATATATATATATATATATCTCAGTGGTGGCTGCTGGTCTTTCAAAGAGGGGAAGCTCTTTTTTTTTAAACTCGACTGTCAGGTGTGGGGATGGTGAAAGCAAGGACTCAGATGCAGAGTTGATGGGCTTTATTTTAATAATAAAATAAAAAATACAAACAAAAACTAAGAACCAGCACAGGACAAGGATAATAAATAGAGAGCAAAAAAGGCAAGTAACGGGGGAGGACAGGTGGGGGAAAATAACTAATAATCAGGAAACAAGATGGGAGTCGACACAATCGACAGGAGAGCACATGGCACAAGGAAAACACATGACAAGCCATGTGCTCACACCAAACATGACAAAAACACAAACACATGGCCAGTAAAACAAATTACAAGCAATTGTGCTCACACAAAATGAGACATGAAGAACAATGAGAACACTCAGCAACGTGTTCCCACAGAACATGACAACATGAAAGCACACATCTAGTGTAAAACACAGCACAGTGCTACACAGCACACGACAAAACATGACATGAAAGCACGCGGCCAATTTAAACATGAACCGCGGGCTACACAAAACACAACACACTGAACAGAGCGAACACGGCAAGACAGAACCTTATGCACGAGAACGACTATAAACTCATCCTGTGCGCTCACAACGGAAAACAAACACGCAGCGCATGCATGTCCGAATCCCGACACAAAATGAAACCAAACTAGACAGATGTGCTGTGATTCAAACACCTGCACATGTAACAAGGCACCTGACATTGACGGAGGAAATGTGGGAATTTGGTTAACTGTAAAATGTATGATGAAAATTGCATATACCAAGAAATATGTCACAGCAGTTCGTCTTTCGAGTACACTTGCAAAATCCACTATGAGATTGAGCTCGAAATCTCGAATAGCTCCTGTGTCAGTGACTTTTTATTGTGCAAAATCGATGTCAATCAAAAGGAGATGCAGTCCTCCAATCATCATGCAGACGCCCGGACTCCAGGCCAGCCCACTTCCCTATTCACCCCAGAGACGCTGAGCGTCCGTGGGCGGGACATAATCACAGCATTTATCCAATGGCCGTCTAGTTTCAAAGCACTGAAAAAAAACTGTTCAAAGCAGCCCCATTGAAGTCAATGGACGCTCGGCTTCAATGGGGAAATGCCATAGGGCGCTACAGGAATGTATGAGAAGGAAATCAGTCAACCAGCCATATGTAGCTGATTCTGAACGAACTCGTCTTCGAGATGAACGTTTTCTAACGCATTTTCAGTCAATAAAATTTGAACAAAATAGTACACATTTGACCATTAATTTTTTGACATTATAGGGGAAGCTGAGCTTCCCTTGCAGTCTTAAAAGCACACTATGCAAGAATTGTACCTTAATATAACAGCTTCAAAGTAATTTCGGTGGTAAACAAACTCAAAGTAGGGCGAATAATCCTGGCAGTAAAACTTTAGTGGGACGCCGCCGGAAAAAAACAGCATTGCAAGTTTGAGAGGAGTGTCCCCTGACAAATCTCGCGAGAATCACGACATGCTTTACGACAACGACGTCACACACATCAACCACAACATGAAGCACGAAGACACTTGCGCGCATTTAAGACATGATACTCGACGATGGAAAAAGCAAAGAAAACGCGGTTGGAAGAGACTAGGAAAAGAGAAAATAAATGCATCAATACGCAAGTTTTGTTTGAGTTCTTTAATGGTCTAGTGGTAGATCTTGTCAGAGAGTGTCAGATATTACAGGTTCTAAGTTTTTTTTTCTCTCGCATCAAAACTGAATATGTCCATCAGTGGTTGCAGTCTATATCAAGCAGGGAAACGTTTTTGTGCATTTTATTTTGTGATTTCAACGGAATGAATAGAGAGTCTCCGCAACTGCGATATATTGAAGAGCGGGTCTGAGTGAAGACTGCGCGTGCGTGATAAACTAATACTGGTTCAAAACGCAGCAGCTCGAGTTCTTACCAGAACCAGGAAGTATGACCATATAAGCCCGGTTCTGTCAACACTGCATTGGCTGCCTATTAAACATCATATATATTTTAAAATATTTCTGATTACTTACAAAGCACTAAATGGTTTAGCTCCCCAGTACTTGAGAGAGCTCTTAACGCATTTTCACGAGTTTACATGTTAATGAAATCTGATGTAATATTATAATGCGTATTTGGCTTGCTGTCCGGGGGGAGGGCTCCGAGCTCAGAATTCGGCCCGACCCCAGAGTACTCCCCAAAATGCCAGATAAACGGAGGACAGCGAGCGTAGAATTTAACCCCCCAAAAAGTGAAGGGTATGTATTTACCAAGGAACGAGCTTGCCAGTTCGACTGGGAAGGCTCTCGCAATGACCGACGGGAACTTGGATGCTCACCGCATCGGACGGATAAGCCCATTCTGCAGTTGAACTGACAGCTCGCTGACGCAGGAATTATGTGAGCGTGAATTTGTGGACGAGGTTAACCGTTCACCCGGGAGGGCTCTCGCAGCGTCCGACGGGAACTTATATGCTCACGGCATCGGACGGGTAAGCCTCGCCAGGTTGGACGGAGGGCGCCCGCTGGACTCGGTCGGGAGGGCTCGACCGGCGCTTCGAAGGGGGGCTGGGGCACGGGAAAGACCCCTCACATCCCGACGAATGGGGAGCCCGCCTGGCGACACGAGCGCGGTCGTCCGGCGACGACTAAGACGGGCAGACTCTCACTGCAATTCGAACGGGAGGGTTCAACCAGCGTTTTGCAAGGGGGACGGAACCCGGCCTTCGAACGGGTGAGTCATCGCTGCGTGCGAACGGGGGAGTCTGCATATGATTGAAAAACGTACACTATGAATATTAAGCGAGTGTGCAAGCGGCGAGCCCAGATGTAATCGGAAGGTTTGGTCTAAAAACGGATGTAACTGAAATGAGGCGCAGCAGGTGATAATTATAATTAATTAATTAGTTAGGGCTTGGTGAGCATTTCTGATGAAAAACCGGCTAGACCTAATATAGGTTTTGAAGGCATTCGATGACCAGCGACCGAGGGTTTTGATTTGTTGTTGGGAGAGACCTTTTTGAGCGGCTGTGGTAGCTGCTCCGATGCGGAATGAGTCGCTAGAGAAATGCTCTGCTGAGACGCCGGATTTGATGAGGACTGCTTTAAGATGCTTTTGGAACCAGAATCTCGTCGCTGGATGATTGGAGTCATTAGTGAAAAGAGGGTCGAGTGGGGATTTGGACGAGGAAAGTTTATACTGCAGGTAATTAAAAAGTGCATGGTACGGTTGGATGGGAGTTTGTAGATTGAAAATATAAACGAAGTGACCTCTTTTATCTCTGTCCGTTTTGCTTTGTTTAATGAAAAATGATATGGTTTCATTATCTACGATCTGGAGGTCTGAAATGGAGGGATGGATATTTGGGTCGAATAAGGAAGTAATGGTCAGTTCGGAACAGCGGAGGAAACCGAAGAATGCTAGGATGAACATAGCTTCTAATGTATATGCGGTGTTGATGGAGTGGTATCCAAGACGGAGTGATGAGATGCATCTGGTGAGTATATCGATTGTGATTGGTTGTCTGGTATCTGGGCGCGTGGGGCAGGATCTTTGGATTCCTTTAACTAGAAGGGACGTTTGGGAGTTATTTATTGCGGGTGTAGGTTTACCGTGGATTAATTTATGGAAGAATTGAATGCCGCTTAGATAGCTTTTAATGGATCCGGCTTGGAGACCTTTAATACTATGAAGATGAGATATGAATGAAGTAACTGTTAAAAGAGAAAATTCGGGAAACGACAGGTTGTGAGAGAGGTGGAATGATTTGAACGATTTCCATGCGGTGTAATAAGTTTGCAGGGTTCTGGGAGAGACGGCTTGGAGGATGGATTCGATGGACGTGTCCAGGAGGGATTTTAGCGGATGGTTTATGGGAAGATCAGCTGAAAATAAGGACGTACTGGAGTTGGAGTGGGGTCTGCTTCTGGTGCCAGCATCCTGAACTTCTGAAAAGAGAAACGGGAGAGAGAGTCAGCGATTTGATTTTGAGCCCCTGGAACGTGATTTGCAGTTATTAAGAACTGGTCGCATGCGGAGATCCATATGAGGCGTCTGAGGAGTGGCATAAGCGCAGGTGAGCGAGAACGACCTTTGTTGATACAGTGTACAGTTGCTTCATTGTCGCAATGGATTTGGATGCTTTTGGTTGACCATTCTTTCCCCCATAGGGAAGCTGCGACGACGATTGGGTAGAGCTCGAAAAGGGCAGAGGAGGCTGAAGACTGGGGTGTGTCCAGGAGCTGAGGGGGCCAGGGAGACGCGAACCAGCGTCCTTGGTAATAGCCGCCGAAGCCGATCGAGGGAGCTGCGTCTGTGAACAGTTTGATATCGAGGGGGAGAGAGATAAAGTCGTCGTAAAAAAAAGTTAAGCCGTTCCACTGATTGAGGAAATTAATCCATAATTTTAGCTCGTTTTTTGACTCGTCGGAAAGGATGATCCGATCTTCCAGCCCATGAACGGATGAAGAGAGGGCTAGGAGATGCGCGATAAAGGGTCGGCCCTGTGGAATAATGCGCATCGCATAATTTAGGTGGCCCAGCAGCGAGAGAAGTTCGCGTTTTGAACAGTCTGAGCTGTCTGTAAAATTGGATGCGATTAAAATGATGCGATCGATTTTTTCCTTAGGCAGTGAGGCCTGGAATTTTGCTGAGTCCAGATTGATGCCCAAGAACTCGATGGATGTAGTTGGACCCGATGTTTTCTCGTGGGCTAACGGAATCCCTAGTTCGGCGAAAACTTTTTTCACTATGAGGAGGTGAGCCTCGGGGATGATGTCGTGAGGTGAAATTATTAGGAAATCGTCGAGCAGATGGAGAAGATGAGGAATTGCATAATTATTGGAAAGGATCCAACATATGGCTTCAGAGAGAGTGTCAAAGATTTTTGGGCTGCTTTTGCAGCCGAAAGTTAAGCGCACGGCGAAATAATACTTTTTCTGCCAGTTTACGCCGAATAAGTGCCATGAATCGGGGTGGATTGGCATTACTTAAAAGCAGAGGAGATATCTACTTTTGCAAGCCATGCACCTCGTCCAGCTATTTTAATCATGGTTATGGCTTGTTCGATATCATGATAGTTAAGAGAATACTCTTCGAGAGGGATGAGACTATTGATGCTCGGATATGGAGAATTATGGGGGGCTGAAAGGTCGATTATCAGCCGCTTTTTTCCAGAGAATTTCCTGGTAGCCACGCCTATGGGGCTGATGCGAAATTTGTCGAACGGGGGGGGCCTCGAATGGACCGATCATGAAACCGGATTCAATTTCTTTTTTAATTAGCTTATCTACTACTCCGGGCTCTGCTAAGGCGGACTGAAGGTTAGCGCAGATAATATTTTGCGTGGGATGGCTTTCTACACCGGGTTTAAAGCCTTGATTGAGACCTGTCAGTAAATAATTTGTGAAGTTGGCATCTGGGTGGTGTGATAATTCTTCGGCTAGACGGAAAACATTCACAGGAGTCGAGAGATAGTTTTTTGCATTTTTATTGACAGATATTTTGACTGGGCATATCACGCGGGCGTGTGCGCCGCCGCAGAAATCGCAGACGTGGAGAAAACGACAGCGTTGTCTTGGGCATCTCCCTTCGTTGAAGTTCCTACAAACTTGTCTATCGGGTGCCGAGTATGGTGCTCTGATTGAAAAATCTTCTCTTGCGTGACGCGGAACGTAACTTGTGGATTTTATGGCATTCTGCTCTGGGCAGGGAGGGATCGACGGATTAATTTGGGGGCATGCCGTGGTGGCATGGATTGTGGATCTGCAGATTGCGCAGGAGATATTTCTACACCCGAGGAAGACTCGGTTATGGAGATCGGTGTCCAACGCTCCCCAATAGGGACACTGATTCCATTGGGAAACGCGGACGGCGCATTTTGCGGAAAACCGCTTGTGGTAAGTATAAAAATGACTACCCCCGTAAGACAACGCGAGCTCCGCTATGATAGACAGATAGTCGTTCAGCTAGCGCCGTCTATGGGGAAAAGACGAGCATATGATTTCTGTATAACGGCTGAAGGCAATACAGAATTCGGCTAGTGACAATGAACGTGATGTAACCTGTGAGTTATTTTTTAGAGTGACTGAAATGTCGCCGCAGTCTACTTGGCGATTGGACTCAGCCGGAGGAAACAAGGACAGGAGAGAACCCAAATCAACATCTGCACCTGCTAGGATTTGAGCTCTGATGTTGTTCGTCACTGGAGGAGGTTCAGATGCTACCTCATTCGGAGGGGCTGGTTGAGGAGTGGCTGAGAAGAGAGAGAAAGGAGAACGCACTTGGAGAGGGTTAAAGGGATGGGAAATCGGGGCTGTGGCCGTTTGCGGAGGCATCCTCACGCGGAGATCGGCCCCCGGGTTAAGGCCAATTTATACTTCTGCGTCGGGTGCGCGCAGTAGGTACGGCGTAGCATACGCACAGACGCATACCATACGCCGTACCCTTCGCCGTAACCTGACGCGCACCTCCTCAAAAATGTAACTACACGTCGCGACGACGCGGACCGCAAGATCTGTGATTGGTCGGCTTGGTAGCATCGCGTTTCCTTCTATGCATTTCCGGCGTGTTCTTCTGCACCGCCCGCCATTTTTAAATTCTAAGTACAGCGAAACTGTTAAAAAAACCAAAAATTTACCTTTTCCACCTCTATAAGCTCCAACTCCAACATGATCTGCTCTCTTTCAGTCGGCATTGCTTGTAGTAACCTAAACTCAAAACAGCCGCGAGGAATCTTCTTCTTCTTGCCGCGAGGAATCTAAACACAGTGGAACATTAAAACCCTCCGCCGCCAACTAGCGTTTCGGCGCTGTACTGCAGAGCAACGCAGACCTAAACGCAGAAGTATAAATGCTCATGACGGCGTTGCCTACGTGCGTAGCCTACGCCGTACACTACGGCGTACACTCGACGCAGAAGTATAAATTGGCCTTTAGGTGGAGGAGGAGGAATAGGAAGAGCATAGTGTGGAAGGGGAAAGAAATGCGCCGGCGATTGACCGGCTAACGGAGGCATCCTCACGTTAAGGTAAGCACCTGACGCTTGGGAAGGAGGAAAACTGAAAGATGTAGAAGGGAAGAAAAACGTTTGGGGATCGTGTAAGAAAGTGGAACTGCCGGGATCTAGAGTGTGAGGTACCACGATGGGAGGGGCTGAGGAGGGGAGTTGACCTGGAGGAGGTTGGCGCCCATCCGTGACTGGTTCCGGGGCGCGGCCCAGGCTAGCGGAAGGTCTGTGATGCCGTGGCGCGGGGGCGGAGCCTAGCGCTGCAAGTGAGGAAGGAGGTACTGCGGGACGAGCGATCGGGGTCCGGCGAGCCTTGCTCGTTCGAGCCGAAGGAATTGGAGCTGAAACAGAAAGGTGAGAAGATTGTAAGGTGACATATAAATTAAATAATTCTGCTTTTTTCATCCTGCGGGAGAAATTTGCATCAGAATTAATTAGGGCTTGTCTTAGCCCCTTAACTGTCCACTTCCCTATGGGAGGGATGTTAGGGGGAGCTGGGAGGTGGGAAGGCGCGGAGGAAGATGATGAAGATGATGAGTCCCTCGCTGGCGGTGGTGAGGGGAGTCTTCGGCGCCTTGGAGTATGCGGAGAGGATCTGGAGGGCCGACGTCCCCTGGTTGAGGATGGAGGCTCGATGTTGCTGTTGGCTGCTGGAGAAGGAACGGTTGCTGGATCTGCATTTTGCGGTTGAGATGACTCCGTGATGAAAGATTCGTCGTCGGAGGGGAAGAGCTCTAACTCGGACATGACTGCACGGAGGCGGAGTCAGATGCTGAGAAATTAGTCATGAGACAGGAGGTAAGGGAAGGCTTTATTTATACTGGCTTCTTCTTGCGCTGATTGGATGATTACCTGAACATGCTCCTCCCGAACTTTGTTTACATAAAACTTCATATAGTCCTTCATGTCTATTGCGATCTCAAAATTCTGGCCAGTTGATAATACCTAGAATATCAAAATCGACTGCAGGCGGTAGATCCTTTTCCTATTTAGCACCAAAACTCTGGAACAGTCTTCCTACCATTGTTCGGGAAGCAGACACACTCTGTCAGTTCAAATCTAGACTAAAAACACATCTCTTTGGCCTAGCATACACATAACACACTATAGACTTTCTTAATTCAAAATTAGGCTGCATAGTTTAGATCAGCCGGAACCGGGAACACGCCCCGTAAATCCTGATGTACTTGGTACATCATAAGAAGGATGGCGTCTACGCTAATAGTAGTCTCTCTGTTTATCCCGAGGGACCCTCTATGGTGGACCTGCGGCTGGACCCATCCCAACTCATCCTTAAGTGCCGGCCTCATCGACACGACAGCCATCGGCACTGATCCTCAACAACTCGTCTCCATACCGGCGTGATTACTTCGACTTCCAAACAGATGGAAATGGATAAAATACTCTAAATGTTCCGATCCAATCTGACTTGTAATGCTGCCCGAATCTCACACTGTTCCTTCATTGGCCAGAGGAGAACTGGCCCCCGACTGAGTCTGGTTTCTCCCAAGGTTTTTTTTCGCCATTCTGTCACCTGATGGAGATTTGGTTCCTTGTCACTGTTGCCTTGGCTTTTGGCTTGCTTATGGGGACATTTAATATTCAACAATATTACTGATCTGCCTTACTTAAGGTGGACATTGACGCAATTTTCTTATATAAACAAACTTGTATTATTTTCATGTTATCACTGTTAAGCTGCTTTGAGACAATCTGTATTGTAAAAAGCGCTTTTTTTTTGTTTTTTATATAAATTACTTAATTTAAAAGAAGAGAATTCAAGCTTCATGCCTGTGTGCCTGTGTTCCTGCTTGACTGACTATTCGCTGCGTCACAGTTCATTTTCGGACGCGTTTCAGAATGGACTTCAATGACAGAGAGAACGCAGAACTCGCATATTTTTTTTTTCTTTATTTGGCAAAAAGCACAACACTTTGTTTTTATTGTGAGTATCCACAAACAAAATAGACACTTAACAGGATCTAATGATGTACAACACTTATATGTAAGATCAAAATCCACAGAGTATTTTGATTCTCTTTTGCACTGATAAGAAAAAAAGCAAGCTTGTCGCACCGGCACGATAGCCGACCCCAGGCTGGTTATGCAATCTTGACTTTGCATAAAGGAAGGCAGTGCAATTGTGAAATTTTGTGGTAAAATCAAGTGTCATCAACAGGCCTGTACAGGAACCGCTGGCAGAGACCAATCAAATTATTACATTTCTAAACAACACCCACTCAGTTTTATCACAGACAGATCCAACAGATAGAAAGGAAAAAGGTTCATTGTTAGTAAATCTGGCAAATGCCTGTTTTGTGTGAACTATCCTTTTAAGGATGCCTGCCAATCCCCCAAAGACTACTCCCTCTGTTTTTTGACAATCATTTTTTATGTATCTCATTTCGAAACATTTTTAAGGTGGCGCCACAGAGTATAAGTTCCCTTTGCTGATACCAACAACTGCACTGCTTAGAGGTCCATTCCTCTTACAGTTAACTTTTACCGACCTGCTTCATCCATCATTGTTGTAGTGATTCTTGTCTCAGTTTTTTTGTTGTTTTTCAGGCACTGTAATAACTTTACAGACTAAGAAGAGTGAAGATGGATTGCAAAAGAGGAATTAGGGATAGGGAAGGTGAGTAAAAGTTGATGAATTGTTTTTGACCAATAAAGTGCAATATTTTTTTTTTGTATTTACATGCTTAATGTTGTGGTATTTGACACAAGCCTGTGCCAAACCATCATTTAGTAAGTATTACATTTGTAATTCTACAGAAGTGATGGTCGAAGTGATGGAGGAAAATCAATTTGGCTTCTTTCAGGAGCTTCTTCCATCGGCGGAGCGTACGGCTTTGCTCTATCATCTCTCTTATCTCTGTTTGGCCAAGTTCCCCAAGTTGGAGAGGGTTCTCAGAGAGTGTGCTCTTGAAACCCAGAATCTCTTTGCCTCCTCTGAGGCTCTTCTGCAGAAGGTAAAGTCAAAAGTCTTCTGACTTTTCTTTTATTGAAGTAAAACTAAAGAGTTTTTAAAATATTAAAATAAGCTAATATAATCAACAGTAGGAATTGAGGATAGATTTGTATTGAATTTGAATTCAGGTAAAAAACAAGAATTTCAAGGTGTAGAATTGAAATGCATTGAAATAGAAATGACAGGGTAGCTTTTAATAATGTATTTGATAAATGTATACATTTCACTGTAGTTATTAACTTGAAATGCAATTTCATGTTTAACAACTTTTGAATTTAATACGCGTCTGATATGCAAAATAAAGTTATTTTTATTTAACTCTGTTAGACTTTTTGTCTTCTGGTGGAGATATGGTGAATGATAGTTATAAAATATTTATGATAAATGTTTGACATGATGGTACACATTATTGAACTATGTGATGCAGTTGACCATGATATACAGTACAACACATATCTCATTAAATTCTAAGACTCTTTGGTTGTGTTGAGAAATTAATATTTTAATAAATATTAATGTTTATTTAAAATTTTGGATGGATTTCCCCAACCACCCACATATTTTGGCTTCAAATGGCGAAATTGACCAAAAGGTCACGACTTTGAGGCACTATGAATTTTGTACCTACAATAAACATGGAACTTAATTACTTAATATAAAATTATGTATTTAAGTTGGCTCAAAAATCTAAGGGGGCGCACATGCAAGGACATAAAATGAAAAAAAAATCTTGCTGTCTTTTATAGTGTGTGGACACAAGTGACCAAATGGTTTCCTCAATGTTCCCTCGACTGAAACTCGCTGTTGAAAATAATGAAAACATTCAGGCTACGATGTCTTTGGAAAAAGCTAAAGAATGGATTGCAGAAATTGTTCACAAAGTGGAAGAGATGGTAGACAGGTACAATTTTAGGAAATGTTTCTAAAGCCCTATTCGGACGAGGTTTTGTTTTACAAGGGTATATGGAGTAATGTAATTTTACCACCAGACATCTGTAATATTAATGGCCAATTCGCACTGGATAAGAAATTTCAGTAAAACTAGCAGAAGTGGGAGGGGTAACTCGATTTACACACCTCCGTCGCCTTCCTGTCGTCATGTGCGTATTACGGTGCTCCCTGATATCATGTGCGCAAACACATATAATCTATATATATAACCTATATATAACAGTTAGGTCCGGTCGAACGATTTATTAATTAAATTAATTAAATTCTGATTGGATTCTGTTGATTATAGACACTTACCTAAACCAAAAAGAAATTTCGTGACAAGTGCTTTGGGCCTTTTTTTATCTGAATGGTCAGCAGAAAACATTTGAGTTTTGCTACAGACTTGTCCCACCGCGTAGAACGCAACTGAATGCTTTTTCAAGCGCCTCCATACTTGAAGAAACGCAGAAAACTACTTTTAAACAGGAAATTGCGGAATACGTACAGGGATTAGTAATATCTGAGGTAATTTTTCCGGACTTTTTATAGAAGGTAAAAGTCGCCGTAATCGTTTCTGACATTGTCCGTAATGATTGCTGAGATGGCACATTGGGACGGGACTAAAATAACTGTGAAGCTCTGGTAATAATCACTTTACCCCACCTCTCCATGTTAAAATAATCTCGTCCGAATAGGGCTTTAGTGTTACATGTCAAAAGCATTATGATACATGAACCCATGCAGAACAAAGTGTACTGTGATTGAACTGATGGTTTATCTGAAATCTGTCATTATCAGATATGAGAAACACAACCGCAGTGTGGCTTCCTGCACCAGTGATGTGATTCTTGAAAAGACTGAGACAGAAAAACAAAATGCACAAACTTCTATGGAGATAGAGGCTCTAGAGAAGGTGGTGAGAGATCTTCAGATGGAACTGAGGAAAACCTTAGAGGAAATCGGACAAATTGAGTCAAAGATAAACCGAAGTCATGGCAGATTTGCTTGTAGAAGAATGTTTGGTTTTAGTTTCCTGGCTGCCGTTGTACCATTTGTTGGACACATTCTTAAATCCATTTTTCAAGCTAAACCTGCACAAAACCAGGCTCTCGCCAATGAAAAAGCTCAACTCGCTGCTCAGAAGTCAAACCTGAAAAGCAAGGAGCACAATATCCAAGTCCGACTGACTGATGTTCAGCTGAAGTTGGCAAACAAGAAGACGGAAAAGGGTGAGATTCTTTCAAGATCTCTGTGTGCCAATGGTCAAAAACCTCAGAGTGATCTCTCATAATCAATGTTTGCTTCATATTGTTTTTCAAGGTTCAATACCCGAAACTGTCCGTCTGAGTGATGTCCAAAAGTACCTTTATCAAATCCAACAAACTCTGCTTAAGCATAATATGTTCTGGAAATCTGTGCTAGTATTTCTGGAATCTCTCAAAAACGAGACCTTTTCTAGTGAACACTTCATTGAGGAGAATGAACTGAAGGAGATTGTTCTGAAGCATATTGATTCAGCGCAAGAGGTAACTCACACACTGAGTAAACGTCCAGTTGCAGTTTATGACAGTTCATTTCATTTTCTATGTTGTGATTCATTTTGTATCTCAAATCTTTCAGAATTGGAAGGTCTTTGGTGAATCCTGTCTGACGGCAAAGAGGGCCTTTAGCTTGCAGAATAAGGATGCGTATAAGTTCCTGGAGTTCAACCCATCTTCATTGTCACCAGAGGAATGTAAAAGGCGGTATGACGTTGTCAAAGCAGATCTTACCAAAATAGGTTGGTAAGCCAATGATGGCTGCCATTACTTTGCAGTACATAGAAGCATATCCAACACATTTATAATGTCTTAATACAAAGCTGCGTTTAAACTGTCACTGGCTAGCGCTGTGGTTGCTAGTGGGCGTTCCCACTAGTTTTCTTGTAAAGGTTATGAATGACATTCATAGATGTCATGTTGTGAACATTGCATTTACATCAACATTGTGGACTCAGTTTTCTTTCCACTAAACATTTCGAAAGGGGAAAGATAATATAAATGGAATCAGAAAATTTATAATATAAAAGACAAAGTGTAAAAAATATGAGAATACATGTATTTTAAATTAGCATCTTGTCTGTAGTTTGATTTATTGGCTTGCTGTGGTACTAAATGATGAATTTATGTACAAATTGTAAAGCCAAAATCATGATTAATATAATATTGTTTTAAATGTTATGTTGTTTGTGTTTGTATTGTGTGTAACATGCTTTTTTAAATAAATGGATTTAAAAAAACATATTGGATGTGTGTGAGGGACTCGACACAGAGAAAAAAAAAATCCAATACATTAGACAGAGGTGTAGTCGATAAGCCAGACAGGGTAAACAGAGACAAGTCACCAGAAGAGAAAAGAGAACAGAGAAAATAAACATTTCTTCTTTCTTAACAACCTCAACAAACAAACTCGACCAATTTTAACAATAGTTCCATTTACCTTTCTCTGACTGAGAGCCTGATGTATACAAAAAAGAACAGAGCAAGTTTAGAAAACCCTTTCACATCATATCAACAAAAAGGTTAGCATTGGCCTACCACTTAGTCAAGTCAACTTTATTTATATAGCGCTTTTTACAATACAGATTGTATCAAAGCAGCTTTACAATGATACCATGAAAATAATAGTTTGTTTCTAGAAGAAAATTGCGTAATCGTCCACCTTAAGTAAGGCAGATCAATAATGTTGTTGAATATTAAAGGTCCCCTCACATGAAATTGTCTGAGGTTTCCTCGACTGTTTCCTCAACTTGGGCCAATACAGAGCTGTCCTCGATGAACGTCTGAAAATAAATCGATCGAGCTACCAAGCAACAATTTCTGATGTGTAGCCTATGTTCAAGTTCAGACAGGTAAGTTAATCTTTCTCTCAAAATCGTTCAATACTGTTTATGCATCAGTAAGTCAAGCCAGTGACTAAAATATCAACGTCACATCGTTTATTTTAGTAGGATGAAAATAATCTTATTTAAATTCTGAACAAATTATACAGAAAGCGATCAAAGAACAATCTTTCCACACAGCGCAAGTTTATCTGGACAACTCGTTATGAAATTAAGGACGCACGTTACACTGCACAACGAAGCTCTTACTGTATACATCATCATGTTTGCATTGGTGAAAGCATTAGAGAGAGCAGAAACTGAGTTGCAATGATAAGATCTTCATTCTCGCCATCAACAGACTGTCATCTGCTTGCTCAGTGCTCATCACGGCAACATTTTATGTGATGGGAATAGATCTAAATACTTCTCACGATTCGTTAATCTCAATAGCTGTAATAGTGAAAACGTATAATAGCTGTAGTAAAAGTATCCGAGAGAGTTTCACATGTAATGCGTAGCTATTTCATATGCAAGCATGTCAGCCAATCACAGCAGTGGCCGGTTACACTGAATCCCACAGCAGACACGCCCCTTCAAACAGAGCGTTCAAATCAGAGGCTAAAATCAGGCTAGAAAAATTGCCTTTTATTTCTAAATTATGATTATTTTTGATCCAAAAAACATACTAACATTATAAGGGCAACCCAGGAAACATTATAAAATAATAAAATAACCCCATGTCAGGGGACCTTTAAATGTCCCCAACTAAGCAAGCCAAAAGCCAAGGCAACAGCAAGAAAACAAAACTCGGGAGAAACCAGACTCAGTCGGGGGCCAGTTCTCCTCTGGCCAACGAACGAACAGTGTGTATGATTATGTTTCAGGCACCATTACAGGTCAGAAGTCAGATTGGATCAGAACATTTACCCAGTTCTTTTCTCGATGAACTTGACTAATTAGTCACTATAAGAGTCCAGAAATGAGTTTAAATTATATGAATCTTTGCCCTGCTTTTCAGCTTGTCAGATAGTCTAGACTTATAGTTCGGCCCTCAGGTTTGAATTTTCTTCTCAATATGTTCCTCAGCTTCTCTGGGGTGTTCAAACGTGTACCTGCTTGCCATTTTGGCTGGATAGAACAGACTAATGCCGAGGTCAGACTGCACGATTTTAGCCCCGATTTTGGCTCGCCGACAGGTTTTGAGAAATCGCTGACAAATGCTCGAAATCACAGGCAAATCGGTGCTCGTTCACGTGAGTGACAATCACGCAGTGTGAATGAGCAAAGACGCGATCTGAGAGAATCGCCGACGAGTCGCCGACGCCCGTGAGATATTTGGCATGCTAAATATCTGGACCTGTCGGCGATTCACAATCCTGCTGTGTGAATGTGTTCTGACTGAAAACTACATCGGCGATGACCGACAGCCAATGAGAGAGCAAGATACAGGGAGGAGGAGGAGGAGTTATAGACCAGAATATCAGTATTTTAATAGATAGGCCTATATTTATTTTCGATTCTTTCTTTTGTAAAGTCATGCAGTGTGAAACCTCCTGTCGCCGATCCATCGTGCAGTGTGAACACAGCAGCAACTGAATGTTACCCCAGATAGTCATGCAGTGTGAAAACAACAGTGACCCGGTTATTTTGAAAATCGTGCAGTCTGAACTCGGCATAACTCGCAGCTTGGCCTTCACTGGATTAAATGCGGCGCGAAGTTTACACACCTCTGGACTCACATCGGGGAAGATGTGCACAGGGGATCTTTTGTAGTAGAAACCGCTTTTAATTCCAGACAGCTTCAGATTTTTTTTCCTTCTCCACATAGTAATGAAAGCTAGCAGTTCACACAAAAATCCATACATTTTTCATGCATTTTTTTGTGTTCTTTGGCCATGAGATCGTGAGACTGTTCTAGTGCGGCCACCCTGTTCATTGTGTCACTCAGCGATTTCCCCATCTCCGTGCACTCGTTCGGCGATTCGGCCTGTGCTTTGTGTGAGGCGGCCAGTTCGGGAAAGATTTCTTCTCACGGTGCACGCAGGTCTCTTCTCGATTCTTTTGCATCTCCAAATGCAGGTTTTCAATTTGCGACTTAATGTCCGTAATCACAGCTTCTCTCTGTGTGTGTGTGTGTGTGTGTGTGTGTTGTTCCGTTCTGAGTGCACTCAGTGAAATATACGAATCGCGGTCTTGCATATGTTCGTTCATTTTTTGTTCACCGCTTTCTGTCTTCGTATTACGCTGGATCGTCGATGTGACTTTTTTGCACAAGCTCGGTTTCCTTTCCGAAAGGTCCATAACTACAATCTTTTTGACACAAATGATAAAGTTTTACTCGAATGACTGGTCTATTGAGCAATAATCATTTATGTTTGTTATTCCGTGACAGAACCTCACACCATTTTGCTGGCGACCACTTGTTTCGCTTGATATTTGCATAAAGTCAAAACTGCCCATCCTTTTGATGCTCTCGGCCGCTCTCAACACTTTCTCTGGCCACTGTCAATCCCACAATGCACTGCGAGAGTGTGAAGCTCAGCTTTCTGGAGGAATTAATTGAAAACTCTCTCTCTGCTCCGCTCACTCTGTACCAGTGGACACGTACCGTTATAATCCATCCATTCTGCACTGAGAGCATTTTTTGGAGTGACACACCACAACTATGTGAGGCTGTTCACACTGGATACATCAAATTAAACTTTATAAACTGGAACATGTCTTTCTGAACTAGTGTAGGAGCCATTTTCATGCAATTATATATGTGTCCATTGGGTGGCTCTCTGACATTGTATGTTAAGAGCATCTGGATAAGAGGTGTGTATTGGTAATTGGGAAGCACACACAGTTTTTGACCGTGCAGGAAAGTACTGGATCGTGCTAATGCGTGATTCATCATGCTAACCGTGCTTATTGCATTATTATGTTTTGGACTGAACTTAATCATGTTTAAACATGATTCATTGGTAAAGAGTGACGTTCAAGGAACAATATGGACAATGCACAATGTGTGTGCTGTATCTTCAAGGTATGGACTTCACATTTGTATGCTTTGAACTTGAAAGAATGAGACACCACAGAAAGCTAATTGGAAGCAATGTTTATCCAATGGACCAGAATAAAGAAAGACACGGTTTGCTTTTTACATCTGTGTTCATGGAGTTTGTACGTGTCAAACACTTGCTCTCTCCTTTTACCGATCCCAGTAGCTTAGTGGAAAGCTGTAACAGAGTGCATGATTATGTTGTATTAAAGCGTTCATTGCAATGCATTGCCCCTTTTGCTTTGATGTGTTCATGACATGTTTGATCTTATATTCTACACCTTTCATATTACATCTACTTCCAGTTATTTTTAGCTGTACAAAACACTGTTTTACACTTGTTGTAATTGTAAATACACTGGTTTGTAGCCCAAATAGTTTTACTATATACTGCACTTTGTTATTCTTCTAGTTATTTACACATTGTAGTGAAAAAAAAAATAGGAAGACTCGCACATTCACAGAAAATAGCTTCAGAATTTCAAAATAAGGTTGATATACAAATGGAAACTGGTTATTTGTTTCTGGTTTCCCTTGTTCTTGATTCGTTACTTTGCAGGTGTGTCCATGCCGTACACAAGGTTTTATAAATTCTGGTCCAAAAACTGAGCTTTCTATAGTGTGTCTGAAAAAAAAATAGCTTTGGCTGATCATCATTGGGCAGTATCATAAATTATCTTTCAAGCAATAAGATTACATTACATTATATAAATTTCCACAAGTATTTATACACTCATGTTCTCTTGTTCATGCTTTGGTGTTGTCCTTGTTATGCTATTTGTGTCACGAACCACACACAGGAACAGAAATCCAATAGCAGTAGTTTTATTTAATAAGGGCAATCCAAAATCGTAGTCTTCCAGGCAGGGGTCAAAATCCAAATAATCAAACCAAACATGAAAAACAAAACACGAACAAGCTCGAAACAGACCTCGGAAGTGGTGACATAATATAACGACTCCCTAACAAACACTGACACAGACAGGGAATATATACACACAGATCTAATCAGGTGGGCCAGGTCCATG